TCGCCCTGCAGGCCGCGCGCGGGTCTGCAGGGCGCGTGCGGCCCGTCTGCCCGTCGCGCGGCCTTGGGGAGCAGCGCGCGGCCCCCGCCCTTCCCGTCGCGTCGCCCTGCAGGTCGCGCGCGGGTCTGCAGGCCGCGCGCGGCCCGTCTGCCCGCCGCGCCGCCTTGGGGAGCCGCGCGTCCCCCCCTGCAGGTGCGCGGTGTGGGTGTTCCCCTCCTCCTTGTTCGTCTCCCACTGCTGCAGCTGCTGCTGAGGGGGGTGGAGGTGTGGGAGCCGCGGGGAGTGGAGCTTGGGGGGTGACGTGGGAGTGGAGCTAGGGGTGCAGCAGGGGGTGTGTGGAAAGGAGGTGGGACTGTTTGGGGAGGCTGAGAGGAGGCCGCCGTCGTGTCGTTCGCAGCGCCTGTAGTCCGGAGCCGTCGTGCTCTCGGTAGCCCAGAGAGCCTTGCTGTGCCGGAAGCCCGTGGGTCCGTTGCTCCTGCCGCTCGTCGTAGCCGCGGGGCCTGTTACTCCCTGTAGTCCGGGGCACTTGCCGCAGGTAGCCACTGTGCCAGTCCTCCTGTTGCCCGTGCGTCTGCAGCTTCAGCCGTCGTCTCCCATCTTCTCTCCCTTCACAATTCCTCCTCCTCCTCACTTGCCCTCAGTGATCGCCTCTAGCTTTGCTTATAATTGTGAACTATTACTATGCCTGCTCATTGTCCTGATTACACCCCACTTTGGCTATGGGGGTGTGTCAGAATGTTATTATCTAGCCTGTAGTGGGGTGCTCTATAGCAAGTACAACCCAGTTAGGGTTTGCTATATGTATCCCAACTGCTACTAGTGAAACCCCTCTTTCGTCATTCTTCTTTTGTACTGCCTAGTATTCTGACAGTCGTCCACGTCGAGAGAACGCGCAAGGAGAAGCAGCCGACCAAGTCGACGACGTCGGCGAAGGACGCCGACCACTCCTCTGGCGGCAAGGGACGAGGTGACGGGGAGGCGTCGTGCTCGCTGGTCGTCGTCGTGGATCCGACCGTCTCGCTGGCACCGGAGGCCGGCGAGGACTTCCAGGCGGTGGCGGTAGCCGTGCAGGCGAACCCGGGAGTGGTCCTGCTCGACAGCGGCTGCTCGCACCATCTGATGGGGACGAAGGCGGCCTTCGTCCACCTGGGGCCGAGCGGCGACGTCAGGCACTTGCGCAGCTTCAATGGGGCGCTGCAAGACGTCCAGGGCTGGGGCACAGTCGCCTTGCAAGGAGAGGCCAGGAAGCAGGTGCTCATCCCCGACGTCCTCTACGTTCCGGGAGTGAAGGCGAACCTGTTGTCTGCCGGCCAGCTGAAGGAAAGCGATGTGAAGCTGCAGGACGATGGTGACGGGATGCTGCTCGTCTCGGCGACGGGGGACGTGCTTGGTCGGGCGACATATACCGGCCGGGTCCTCAGCACTGACCTTCGCCCGTGCCCGGCGCCGTCGACGACAACCACGACGGAGACGGTGCCTCTCGGACCATCGCTACGGCGACGAAGTCAACGCCGGCTAGGTGGCATGCGAGGCTTGCGCATGTCGGCGTCGACACCATTACGAGCTCGGCAAAGAATTAGGTCGCCACTGGTGGCACCTCGCCCTGCGGCAGGCCGTCTGGGTTCGCAACTGCTTGGAGAGGTCGACCCTGCGGCCGGGGACGACGCCGCACCAGCTGCTGACCGGCAAGAAGCCCGACCTGACGCTGGCCCGTGTGTGGGGCTGCATGGCGCATTTCCTGGTCCCCGAGCAGCAGCGCGGTGGCAAGCTGAAGCCGAAGGCCAGGTGGGGCCTTCACCTCGGTGTGTAGGAGGAGAGCAAAGGCTGGGAGCTCCTCGACCTCACCGACAACATGGTCGTCACACGTCGACCGTGGTGTTCTATGAAACGATGTCACTGGAGGTGTGCAAGTCGGAGCACGCCAACCCCCCGACGGACACCTCGACGGCAACCCTTCCTCTGCTCGCCAAGGTCGGTGAGCCTACTGATGAGGACGCCAAAGATGTTCTCCTACCTCCCCCCTCCTCTGCTCTTCCTGCCCCACCCCTCGTAGCCAACCTTCGTGTGCTGTCACCGATGTCGGCCTCCGGCAATGAGGGGAGCAGTGGGGCATCGCCTGTGGCGCCGGCCAAGAGCATCGCCGGTGGCTGACGCGATGTCAAGCCAGTCGGCGTGGAAGTGGCGCCGCCGACGACAGGGGAGCAGCAGGTGCAGGAGAAGCAGCCGACTTTGCTGAAGTCGGTGAAGAAGGTTGCGGCAGAGAAGCCGCCAATAGGGGAGCAGCCAGCAGGGACGCCGACCAAGGAGCCGTCGGTGACCGGGCAGTCGGCAGGGGAGCCGACAACAGGGGAGAAGTCGGCAGAGACGTCGACCTTGGTGCAGCAGGCCGGTGAGGGCAGTGACGCCGGCGTTGATGAGAGGGAGCAGTCCACCGACAGCGACGTGGTGGAGGTCAAAGCCGAAGAGACTAGGCTGCGTCATTCAGGCTAACTTCGGAGGCCGCCCGAGTTCCTGACCTACCACGTGTGCCTGCCACCGGCCGCCTACACCACGCTGTACGACGACGCCGATGATGACCTGCTGTATGACGACGACGAGGAGGACGTCGACCTGCCAGAGCTCGACCTCGACATCCACGCCGACCCCGAGCACCGCTGGGACATCGCGACGATGACGGTGAAGGAGGCGTTGGTGAGCTCGAAGGGCAAGGTGGTGAAGGCCACCATGGACGAAGAGATCCGCAGCCTCATCGGCATGGGCACCTGGGTCGAACGCCCACGCGGGGTGAACATCATGAAGAACCGGTGGGTCCTGATGCCCAAGTACCACGTCGACGACACGGTCGCCCGGGAGAAGGCGACGCTGGTCGTGAAGGGCTTCACGCAGGTGTATGGCGCCAACTACGACGAGATGTACGCGTCGGTGAGCAGCTACGACACGCTGAGGATCTTCTTCAGCATCGTCGCCATCCTCGACCTCAGCCTGATGCAGCTCGACATGAAGAACGCCTTCCTGCAGAGCAAGCTCGACAGGGTGCTGTACATGTACCAGCCGGACTACAACAACGACCGGACCGGCCGGGTGTGCAAGCTGCTGAAGAGCCTGTACGGGCTGAAGCAGTCGCCGCTGTTGTGGTACAAGGCACTCAACGGCGTGCTGGTCGGCGCCGGCTGGGAGAAGATGTTGCGATATATATTTTTTTATATATTTTTAACTGCAATTACCTTTAGCTTTAGTGTAGTTATATTACCTTGCTGTTGGTGGTGCACCTTTTGCATGCTTGTCTTGCATATTTGTACCTGCCGAACTATAGTGAAACTCAATTGTTTGGTCAAATCTCTCGATCCTCCCTTGGCCTTGACCCTCGACACTTGCTTGGCCTAGGCTACTAAGCCTAGGCCCTCCTTAAACCTGATTACCAGCTAAGTTAGTTTCGTCACATGGTATTGAGCTAGGTCCGATTTAGGACCGTTTTAGATGGGCCCACCATTAGCGCTTGCAATGACGCGTCCCGTAGTGCGCCTAGCGAGCGTTTTCTCACCTTCAGACCGTCGCCCATTTGCCCGTCGCCCTGCGCCCGTTCGCCCGTCGCCCTGCATCCTGTGCGCACCCTGCCGTCCGTACGCATCCCGCCGCCAGTTTGCTCCCCGCTGTATGCGTCCTGCTCGATCGAAGGCCACGACCCCTAATCATCACCCAACTTCGCGGCTGTACGAGTGTGCAGCGACGGTCGCGGTGTGGGGGGAGAGAGAGAAGGGGGAAGGGCGTGGCGGCGGATCACCAGCCAGCTAGCCACAACCGACGCGCCAGCCAGCTCGTCACCAAATGCACCAGCGAAATCACCATCGAAATCGCCAGCAAACCTGTCAACGAACCTGCCGCCGGTACTGTCAACGAATCTGCCGCCAAACCTCTCAACGAGCCTGCCGCTGGACCTGTCAACGAGCCCGCCAAAGAACCCGCCGACGGACCCCCCGACAAGCCCGCCGAAGAACCCGCCGAGTGATTCGCCAGCGAACTCGCCAACGAGCCGGCCGTCGCTCTGCCCGTCTCATTCCCCCCGCCCCCTGCCCGTCTCCCCCCCCCCCCCCCCCCCCCCCCATCGCGACTGTTCGCGGGTGCAGCGGCAGTCGCTGTGGGGGGGAGAGGGAGGAGGGGAAGAGAGTGGCGGCAGAACCATGTGGGGGGGAGGAGGAAGGGGGGAAAGGCATGACGGTGGGACGTCCGCGAGCAACCGCCGCAGTGCCGCCCGTCCCTCCATCCCTCCCCCCTCCCCCGTCGCCTTCTCTTCCGCGTCTGTCGCCGCATATGCACTTTAGAACATGATTAGAAGCGGTTGGGGAATAGTGGGGGGAAAGCATCGAAGGGCGAAATGTGTGACGAAGGGCGAAATGTGTCCCAACCCCGAGCCGCGCATTGGGAAATGTGCAGCATAGGGCTGGGCTAGGTAAGGTCACGCACTCACATGTACTCGTTGCTTGTTTTGTGTTATTCTCTCGCATCAGTGGAAGTTGGCTCTTTAGCTCTTAGCACATAGTGGCACGCCACCAGGAGGGAACCAGTGGGGTGAGGGAGTGATCCCGTTCATAACACAAAACAAGCCTAGACACGTAGAATGGATAAGTATGAGTTGCGCTGGGGTAGAGTCTTCAGCCATCGAGAGGAGGAACGGCCGTGGCCTGGGCGCTCACAGGAGCGCGGGCGGTCCCTAGAGCGATCGCCCAAGAGGCCAGCCTTCCTCGCGGATAGGATTCCCGTCGAGCCGGCCCGACGGGAGGGAAGTTCGGCGCATGGCGAAGTGAGCGGCGAAAGGTTCGCTGCGTCGACGAGCGGCGCGCCGTGGCGGAGAGATACGTTCCACCTGATCGGAGGAGAGCACCGCCATCACTGTGACAACGGGGTGTTCTGCTCCCCGGAAGAGGGAGGGCAGCGACGTGATGAGCGAGGTCGCTGGCGGGGACGAGAAGAGCCCCTGCGCAACCGAGGAGAAGGCTCTGGCGTCAGCAGAGCCGAGGAAGCTTCACTGGCCGACCGGACGTGGGAGGAGATGCATGAGGACGAAGCAACGGACAAGGAGGACGAGCAGGAGCACGTCTACAAACAGGCGGGCGGGGACCATCACGTCCCAGTCGGAGCCGAGGAGGAGAAATACGCACCGACCTGCGAAGCCGCCGACTCAGCCGAGGCAGCAGAAGAGGAAGGGGATGAGGTGCGCGCGAAAGAGATCCGCGCGGAAGGTCTCGACCGCCTGGGAGGACACCGCTCATGCGACGCGCTGCAGCAGGAGCGCCAGAATCGAGAGGAAGAGGCGTGCACATCGCAGATGCGGAGATCGCGCGGAGGAGGAGAAGCTGAGCACTCGCGAACGCCAGAAGGCCAATGACGGCGGGCGGGGCAGCGAGATGGAGGCTCGCGCTCGCCCAGGGGATCCCAGCCAAGAATGGAGCGGCATGGCGACAGGGTGCAGCCGCGGGGAGGAAGACAGAAGAGCGAGGTGCGCTCGGCCGATCGACAGCTGGCGCCTGGGGGAAGACGAAGCACGGATTCTCGCTCACCTGAGCCGCGGTGGCAGCAGGAAGGGCGACGAAGGGGACAATCACGCTCGCCGCGCCAACAGAGGCGGTGGAAAAAAGAGGCCCAGTGGCGACTCGCGTTCGCTAGACCCACACCGCCGGCGAGAGGGAAGGCTGGACGAGGCGAGACACTCACCGCCTGGCCATCGGCAGCAAGGAAGGGGAAAGGAGGAATGGTCACGATCCCCGGCGAGGCGTCAATCGTACGAGACATGCCGAGGAGATTGGGAGAGGAGTCACCACTCGCCGGCTCGGCGGTGGGAGCGGGCGGGAAGAGAGGAGAGTCAGTGGAGACATCAAGGCGAGGCGCGCGGAGACCAGCAAGAGAGCAGGGCCAGGAGCGAAAGCATGGCATACGGGGCTGAGTGGGCACGAGAAGCTAGAGAAGGCCTGGAACGAGCCAAGCAAGGGGGGATGTATGGGTGACCGTCAAGAGGGGCGAGTGAAGCGTGGGGAGAGGGATGGGGGGCGTGGCTACAGCACCAAGAGTGGAGGTGCCAGCCAGGTTCTCGGGCGATCAACGGTCAGGGCATTCACTTAAGAACTACTTGATGCAAGTAGGAAACATGAAGTACCGCTGTGACCGGAATGGCATGGACCCAATAGACTTCTTCCTGAGCCTGCCAAATACCTTGGAAGGGGAAGTCGAAACCTTGTACCGCATGAGGATGGAGGAGTTGCTGTGGAGGGCAGGGAAGTACGGGGAAGACCCCACTGAAGCATTCTTGGAGCGGTTACAGCGGCAGTTCCCCGGGCACACGGCGGAGCGGATAAGGGAGTTTCAGGAGTTCAAGAGGGGGAGGGCAGAATCTCTACTGGCATACTACAATCGGCTGATCAACGTAGCAGAGGATGTGAGATGCTCTGACAGCAGCCTCCTCATCAGTAAGTTCCTGGGAGGCCTGGACGAGGCACTGGGAGGCGGGTTGAGGATGAGGGTGTGTGAGCTGGGAGCGGAGGCGAGCCTGGATGAGGTGTTTGAGTTGGCAGAAAGGGTGGAGCTCGCGCAGAGAAAATATGAGGCTTACCTGCCGAGGCCGATAGAGAGAAGCCGCAGGCCGACTTGGGCGGCGGCGATGATACTAGAAAGTAGGGGGAAGGCAGAGGAGCGAGGAGAGGCAAGAGCTGACACCAGGATATGCCACAGGTGCGGCCAGCCAGGGCACATCCGCAGAGATTGCAAGAACTGTGATGGCTGTGGAAAGTCGGGCCACCGCAGGCGAGAGTGTCCTGATGCCGCCAAGTGTGAGATATGCAAGAAGAAGGGACATGAGGTCAAGGACTGCTATCAGAGGGAAGGAGGAGCAAGGAAAATCCCGGAGGAGCTGCAGCGGCAGATCAACAGGCTGCAGGCGCAGCTGCAAGCAACAGGACCGAGATGGGGGGCCGACGCAGGGATGTATGCTAGAGACGAGGAGGGAGAAGAGGTGGAAGAAGACGTGCAGTGCCCACTCATGGCATGGAGGGGAAAAGAGGAGATGGGGCTGAGAAGCGGAGAGAAAGACGGTTGGCAGGAGCAGGGCATGAAGGTTTGGGAGAAGGGGCATAAAACAGAGGAGCCAGTGTTGGTACAGCCGCCGGCACGCCATCCGCAGGAGAGGCTGGCGTGTCAGACCTCAGTGCTGCTGCTAGAAAGGTTAGCGATGGAGGTGGAGGGGGAGAAGGTGAAGATAGCCATCATAGAAACGAGAGCATTGAGTGTGATGCTGGGCAAGGGGATGGCTGAGAGGCTGGGGCTCATGGCTCCAGAAAGGCACGTGGAGAGGGGGATGTTGGTGATGACGGCAGAAGGAGGGGAGCCGAAATGGATGCCTTGCACCCTGGCACCCATAGAAGTGACACTGCTGCCAGGAGGGGAGCATGAAACCAAGATCAGGATGAAGTGCGGCATCTCGGAGTCAGAGGACTTTGACGTGCTAGTGGGCACCGAGCTGGTGTTTGCGGTGGGAATGACGATCTGCACCTGGACTGAGAAGGTAGAGTTTCGGACGCGGTACTGGAAGAAGGAGGGACCATTAGGAGAGCTGCCAGTACGGTTCGTTAAGGTGGAACCCAAGAGGGCGTACCAGGCCATGGCAGGACAGGAGACGGAGGCAGGAGAGGCGGGGGGGCAGAGGGGAGCAACTGGGACCAAGGAAGGGCCTAGGATGAGGAGGATGGACGAGCCAAGGCAGCAGAGTGATTGGCAACAGCCCATCCGCTTGGTGGAACTGTTCGGAGGGATTGGGGCGGGATTAGCAGCGGTGGTAAGAAGTGGGATTGCAGTGCAGAAGTGGGTATACGGGGAACAGGCGCCAGTGGTGAGAAAAATGGCTGAGCACCACGCCTGGAAGCTGCAGGCGGAATTCCCAGAGCTCCTGAGTGCAGGGGTGATCCGTGAAGCCACGAGGAGAAGCAACCATGATGTGGCACGGATAACAGAGGCGGAGGTGGCCAGCTGGGGGCAGGTAGATCTACTAGTGGCAGGATGGGAGTGCCAAGGGGTGTCTTGGGCTGGTAAGGGAAGAGGAAGGGAGGACCCAAGGACGCAGCTGATGGAGGACCTGTTCCGCATCATGGAGTGGCTGCAAGAGAGGCAGGGCAGGGTGGCCTACCTGGTGGAAAATCTGAATTTGGAAGGGGACAACCGGGAGCCAATACGAGTGGTGAGGGAAAGGATCAAGGGGCAGTTGGGAGAAGGGGTGAGCAGTGATGCGGCCATAATGGGGTCACTCGCACACCGATTGAGGATGTACTGGCAGAACATTGTCCCGGCACCGAATCTGCAGGAGATAAACGCGGTAATAAGAGTGCCAGGAAGGAAGGTGCAAGACATCCTTGAGCCAGGACGAACCCCAGCGTCGGTGTGCCGGAAGGGCTACAGCAAACATTACCCCTGCAATCAGGTGGGGCAGGACCGACGGGCGTTACCCACCCTAGTCACCTATGCAGGAGCAGCAGGGTATGCGTGGGCAGCAGGGGAACCGGGCCTAGGACTGATATACAATCACAAGAAGCAGCGATGGGAGGAACCAACCGCGCTAGCACAGGAGCTGGCCATGGGTTATGGGGAGAATGCAACGGCAGCTCCCGGGGTGAGCGAGGCTGACAGGAGAAGGGCACTAGGGAACGCCATGGACGGCAACATGATGAGATGACTGATTCAGCGGATGTGGAGAGAGACGGTGGTGAGCTGGGGGCAAGAGGAAGAAAGGGGGGGCATGGAACCGCGCCCTCAGGGAGCATGGATATGCTGGGAGGAGGAGGGAGAGGCGTGGAAGGTAGGGGAGGCAATGAGTGAGGAAGGGAAGGAGGCCATGCAACGACTGTTAACCAAACACAGGAAGTGCTTCGCCTTCAACCTGCAGGATTTGGGAAGGTGCAAGGTGAAGGAGATGGAGTTGAAGCTGAGCAGTGCGGAGCCCGTGTTCCACCGGAGGAGGAAGATGCCACACGGGGACGAGGACATCTGCAAGGAGAAATTCAAGGAGCTGCTGGAAGCTGGGCTGATTAGACGGTCCGAGTCGGAGTACGCCACGCCGACGGTAGTAGCTGCAAGGAAGGATCTCACGGGGGAGGTCCTGAGCAGGAGGATGCGTGGGGATTACCGGGCCCTCAACAAGATCACGGTAGCGGACATGTACCCCATGCCGATGGCCGAGGAGATATTTGACAAGTTGGCGGATGGGGTCTTCTTCACACGTTAGACCTACGGCAAGGGTTCAATCAGATCAAGATCAGAGAAGAGGACATTAAGAAAACGGCCTTCCATGGGCCAGATGGGCTCTACGAGTGGCTCAACATGCCATTCGGGCTACGGAACGCATCAGCTGTGTTTCAGAGGGTCATGGATACGGTCCTGCGAGACGTAGAATGTGCAGCATGCTACATAGATGACGTGGTAATCTTCAGTACGACAGAGCAGCAGCATTTGCTGGATGTAGAGAGGACCCTGGCGGCAATAGAAGCTGCAGGACTCACATGTCACCCCAAGAAATGCAGGTGGGGTGAGGAGACGGTGCAGTACTTGGGCTACGAGGTGAAGGGGGGGCAGATTGGGATCCAGCAGGCCAAGGTGGAGGTCTTGGACAGGCTGCGGGAGCCAAAGGACAAGTAGGGGCTGAGAGCAGTGTTGGGCTTCCTCAGCTACTACAGGAGATTTGTGCCCAACTTCAGTAAACGAGCAGCAGCATTGAATGGGCTGCTGAGGGAGGACAGGGCGTGGGAGTGGGGAGAAGCACAGAAAGGAGCACTGCAGGACCTCATGAGAGCAGTGAAGACGGCGACCGTATTGCGGCTGCCGGCAGCGGACCAACCGTTCACCCTCTACACCGACTGGAGCAGCCAAGGGATGGGAGGGATACTCTGCCAGCAGGTGAAGGGGGAGGCGAAGGTAGTGGCCTACGCGAGCAGGAGTTGTAACTTGGCAGAGGCGCAATACAGCTCGTACATAGGGGAGGGACTGGCGGCAGTGTGGGCTGCAGGGCATTTCAGAGTGTACCTATAGGAACGGGAGTTCACCTTGGTAACGGATCACCAGCCACTGACATGGCTAATGACAACGCCGGGACTGACAGGCAGGAACGCACGGTGGGCAATGAAGCTGCAAGAGTATGATTTCAAGATCAAACACAGGCCAGGAAAGACCCTACAATATGTGGACGGCCTCTCCAGAACCCCCCACAGCTGGAACCGACAGTGACCTTGACACTCTTGGCAAGGCAGGTGGAACTGAGCGGGGCCAAAGGAAGTAGGGGGCCGGCAGATATTTGGGAGGATGAACAGGCCATGCGGTGGGTGAAGGGGGAGACAGGGGAGGATGAGGAGATGACGGAGAGAGTGAGGGCAAGGGGACATCACTACAGGTGGTATCAGCAGCAGTTACAGATACAAACCGAGGATGGATGGAAGCTGGTGCCAGCACCTAGTGACAGAGAGGCAGTGATCAAGGAGGTGCATAAAAAGCTAGGGCATTTCGGGCATGAGAGGACAGTGCAGCTGCTGAAGACGGGGTGGTGGTAGGAAGGGATGCGGAGGCAAGTGAAGGGCTGGGTGGAGGGCTGTGAGGCATGCCAGAGGAGCAGGGCAAACCTCACCCAAGCCAAGGCTGAGTTGCAGTCCCTGCCTATCCGAGGCCTAGGCTTTAGGTGGTCCTTGGATCTGGTCGGGGAACCGCCTTTGAGCCGGGGGGGTAAGCAGTACATCGTGCTCATGGTGGAGCATGTGAGCTAGTGGCTAGAGGTAAGGGCAATCCCGAGCAAGAGCTCAAGGCAGGTTGCAGCAGCATTCAAGGAGCAAGTGATATGCAGATTTGGGGCATGTGCAGAAGTCCTCACAGATCAAGGAACTGAGTTCCAAGGGGACTTCAAGAAGCTG